TCATACACCCAACGCACAGGAGGCCCGCCCAATTCAAAACCTGATGATTGACCAAGGATTAGTCAATCCATTTAGGACCTTGCATCCTACAGAGAGATCTTTCGCCCTAGTTAAGAAGAACCATGCTTGTCACACTGCATTTTCACGGATAGATTATTTCTTAGTGTCAAGTTCTATCATGGGGGCGGTGAAAGAGGCGAAGATCCTACCCTTGGCAACCTATCCAGGTCTGGATCACAAGCCTATTGAGCTCACTATTGGATTCGAACAACAAGTGAGAAAACGTTTTGGGTTTCACAAATTAAACAATTCATTACTGCACAGTCATACTTTCCAAGAAGGTATACAAGAATTCTGGAGGGGCAGGAATATGAGTTTTTTACCCAACCAGAGCCGCTGGGAGTGGTTTGTGGAGAGCTATTCCTGACTTGCAAAGACAACTGCAGAAATGTCGAGAAAGTTGGCCTCCATAAGAAAACAAAGGAAACGCAGACTTGAACAAGCACTAACGATAGCGAAACTTAATTTAAGAGATGATCCTTCCTCGCCGCTACACAATGAGATATTTGAGAAAGATCGCGAGGAACTCGCAATGTGGAGATGGTGGGGGCTAAAAGGTTTGCAGATAAGAGCCAAAATGTGCGGCTACGAACTCAACGAGTCGATGACGAAACACTTTTTTGCACGAATCAAGGCAAATACGAGAGCAGCCACGATAGACAAGATCTCCAATCCAACACGGATAGTGGAAACTAGTGAAGAAATCATGGTAGTAGCTAAAGAATTCTATCAGGATCTATATCACACGAGGACCCAATTTCCTACCTCGAGTGCTATTTTGCGAGCGCGACAGCGGATGCTACAATACCTGGAACAAACAATCTCAGTGGAGCAAGCAAAAGAAATGGACAAACCCTTCACAAAAGAAGAGCTATGGGTGGCCCTCAAAAGTATGAATAACGATAAGGCACCTGGTATTGATGGGTTAACGAAAGAATTATGGGAAAAGTTCTGGCCAAGTCTAAGGGGGGATCTCTTGAACTTTTACCAGGATAGTTTTGAGAGAGGTGGTCTGGGAAGTCTAATCAGCAGCAGTGTGGTTACGCTGCTGTATAAAAAAGGGGACAGGGAAGACATCAGGAATTACAAACCTATCTCCTTACTCACATTGCCATATAAAATTTTGGCCAAAACCTTATCTGCTAGAATCACGAGAATAACAGATAAGTGCTTCCACATTGACCAAACTGGCTTCATTCCGGGTCGATACATATTGGATAATGTATTGATGCTGAATGAAGCGACCAACAAGGCTAGAGAAAAAATAATAATTACGGCGATTCTGTTCTTTGACTTTGAAAAGGCTTATGACCAAGTCAACTAGGACTTCATGGATGCTAGTATGGAACGCATGGGAATGGGTCCAAGCTTCAAAAAATGGGTCAAAATCTTGTGCAGTGACGCTTCGGGCTGTGTACAAATCAATAATTTCCTTTCCGATAGCTATAAGATATCACGCTCGGTTAGGCAAGGGGATCTGCTTGCTCCCTCGATCTTCTTATTTGTGATGGAAGCCATTGCCTCCTTCCTTCGAAAGGATCCATCGATACACAGACTTCCGGAGGTCAGTGTAGGAACGTTCGACCACCTCAAGTTCCCGACAGTAATAATGTTTGCAGATGACATGACAGTCCTGATCAGAGCATCAGATTCGTCCTTTATGGCGCTTTCTAGAGCAATGGAAGCATTCAGGCTGGCGTCAGAAATGAAAATCAATTGGGAAAAAAACATAGGCTGGTGGCTTTCGGAGGATCCTATTCCTAACCTGCAAGGCCCAGAGGCAGACATGACTTGGGACACGCCGGACACCCCCACGCGATACCTAGGTATCCTCATGACAAGAAGGGGTCTGGCGCCGCAAATGGGCCCAAATATGCTAGCTAAACAGTTCAACAAGCTAGGGAGATGGGGGCACACGTGCACCTCAATGATGGGTCGGGCGTTGGCCCTTAACACGTCCGTATTTTCCATGATGTGGTATATTGCTGCAGTACGGACCATTGCGGATGAATCACTAAAAGAACTAAACCAGGTAGCAAGAGCATATCTGTGGACGGGTAACCCCAATAGAGGGAACTGTATTCCCAAAATAGCCTGGAAATACATTACAAGGAGACCAGTTCAAGTGGGACTGGGGATTATCGACCCGAAATGTGAGACGAAAGCTCTCCAAGTTAAATGGATCGTCCGGTTGCTTACGAAACCAGAAACCGCATGGAACAATCTGGCCTTGGACAGTATAAGGGAGTTGGCCCTGGTCCCAACGCCAAACAACATGACTGGTCTATTCTGGGTAATGAACAAAGAATGGTCGCTGAAAAAAGGGAGAAGGAGAACTAGAGGGGAAATAGCACAGAACGCAGATATCCACCACTCGCCTTACTGGGCAGCTCTCATCCGGCTTTGGAGGTCTATTATGCCTAAGAAATACAGCAGACCTAAATCCAAGGACGAAATATTGAGGCAACCACTGTTTGGCAATGAGTGGATGAGGAGTGAAAGTGATGAACCTCTCTTCCTAAATCCCAGGTGGCTCTCATGGGTAAAGAATGGAGTTTGGACAATTGGACACCTGTGGAACGACGATGCTAAGGACTGGATATCTGAGCAAGAGTTGAGTACTCAGCTCAAGGGGTGCCACAGGAGAGGCCCCAATCTACAGTACATGACAGGGCTCGTTCCACCAGAGTGGGAAGTGGTATTAAAGCAGGGCAGGGAATGGTGTAGTGGAGAATGGGGGGTTAAAATCCAAGAAAGCAATCCCTCTAGAGCTTTTCAGCTCTCACATTTTCAACAAGGTTCGACCACCCAAGCGATTTTCACATCCTTCCCTATCAGCTACACAGCGAAGGGTATGCCTTCGATCGTGAACGCTGATGTAGAAACCGCAATCATGGAGCACTTCCTGCTCAGGAAAGTGAGAGTGCTAGGTGAGTGGCCTAAATGTATCTTCAGAATCGACACAGCCATTCGAGACTTGGAGTTYGACCCGGGGGAGTGGGCATGGAAACCGGACAAGGAGAAGAATATTAAGAAGCGTACTTTCATACAGGAATACATGGTCAAATTAGGGTACAAACTTATGCTGAAAACGAAAAATCCTGAACCCGTCATCAAAGCAAGATGGTTGAAACTATTAGGCCAAGAGGCGGATAAAATAACGAGGATCCCGTGGAAGGCATATAAGACGATCAGACCAGTCAAAATCAGAAGCCTTCAGTGGCTAATCACTTACGCAGCGCTACCAGTCGATCAATGGTTACACATCTGGAGGAAGGAGACTGTGCCGGATAGTTCTGACCTCTGTAAAGTGTGCACAGATAATGCAGTAGAAGATATAGTACACTGCCTAATACACTAAAAGGAAGCAACACACTACTGGGCGAGAGCATCCACACTTTGGAATTCCCTCTTTATTTCTCCGTTCCCTGAGAAACCTACCCAGCTTCTCCTACTAATTGACATCCCTAAGTGGCCATGGAAAGCAGAAAAGATCTGGTACGAGCTCATCAGGAAGACCTCACTCTGGATCATATGGAAAGAGAGATGCAGCAGAACAATTGAGAATGCTTCAAACGCGCGGGAGAAAGTCTGGGCGGAGACAAAGGCTCTGATACAGGCGGAAATTCTATGCAGATGGAAGAAGATCAAGAGTTCATGGACAGACGATGAAGAGCAGCGGAAGAAGGCTAGAAGTAAGTTCATCAGGACGTGGTTGATAGGGGGGAAAATTGCCGAGCTGCGGGATGATCGGATCCGTTGGAAAAAGTGGCATAATTCCGCTTCAACAAGGTATCCGGAACAGCGAAGTACAACATCAGAACGTGGAATCCCCGAGCCAGAATCCAACTGAGACAGATCTGCTCTCGGATCAATACTTTGAGAATACAACAGGGGTTTTGGAAGCTTGATGGTAACGTATACGAGCAGGGGGTAGAGGGGTCAACGCAAGGAGGTTCTGGACGAGCATCAGGGTAAAGGACGATGATCAGGAAAGGTACCTAAAGGAAAGACTGAGACCAGCGTTTGGAGAATACAATGAACCTCCCAAACCAGTGAAAGAGAGAGCAAACGGAGGAGAGGCCCATCAAAGGACAGTATCGAAGGACAGCGTCGAAGGACTGAGGTTTTAGGGTTTACGAAGAAATGGAAGTTTATTCAAGGGACTGGAAGATTAATTGAGAAGGAAACAGGTCGGTAAGGTTTAATGGAGGGATCTTTCTAGCATTACTGAGGATATTCGGCAGATCTGGATACCAGGTCTGAGAGGAGACAGAAGGATAAGGCAAGCTGAAAGTCAATCCTCCACTGTCGTGGAGCATTCAATGCTGTTCAGGGGTCCTTCGGCCGGACGGAAGGAAGAGAGAGTTATCTTGATGTAATACCCTTTTGACTTGCCGGTGGAATAGGAACCGGACTGACGCTCCCCAGAATAGAATGGAGCCAGGCCCATAAGGTCCTGTTTAAAAAAAAAAAAAAAAAAAAAAAAAAGTAAATGTATACAAGTGAGCATCACTAAGAGAACAGACAAAACATAATCTGAACATCTGAAAGAAAATGAACAGGATTATATCTCCCACTGTATTCTGCCTCCTTTTATAACTGATTTTGGATCTACTGAACTGGGTGAAATAGGGGTGGTTTTGGTGAAAGTCCGCAACACACACAAATGCATCCCGGTACTCGAGAATGCTCGGAGACCGCCATGAAGGTACAGGGCTGTGTGTGTGTGTGTGTGTGTGTGTGTGTGTGTGTGAGAGAGAGAGAGAGAGAGAGAGAGAGAGAGAGAGAGATATTTCAGTTGATTGGATGTGTGGATGGATTGTTATTGTGGCTTTTGATTGGATGATGTGAATCGTGGAGCTCATGGGATACATTGGTTTCTGACAGTTTGTTTATGTGGCTGTGCTTTGTACCTGTTGCTGTTAATGCTTTTACAGGGAGCTTTTGAGCTTGGATGCACTGTTTGCCCAATTGCCATAAAGTACAACAAGATATTTGTCGATGCATTTTGGAACAGCAGGAAGTTAGTGTTCTTCCTCTTGCCTTCGGTGTTCTCTTGGCAGTCCTTGTTCTCTCACGATCAGTTACATGTGGCTGGGGTTGCCTTCCCCAAGCATTAATTAGTTGTCCTTTCGGTCCTTTTTCCTTTTCTCCAAGTTTTTTGGCCAGTGTTGACTGGCCCAAGCATGGATTGGTACCGTGAATAGGGAAGTCGAGAGGGGAAAGGATTTGAAATGGCACTTTCCTGCAGCAACACTCAGATTTTCATGATCACGATGGCCACATTACAACCTTGCAGCAGCAGTACCTTTCCCCAGTCGAACTGGAATCTTTTGGCTATCTGCAGACAACCAATTATGTGCATCTGATTGACGGCCATGGCTGGTCTACGGGTTGACTTGACTTAGGCCCTACAATCCCATGCTGGGGTTGACTTTTGATTTTCCAAGAGTATTTGTCTCACTATGGGGTGCTGGGCACAAGTTTTGACTCAGACTCTGGTACCCCTTGACCCTAGGGACTTTCTCAGCCATTTCTCAGGCTTGGGAGGTGACCTTCGACGTCTGTTTGTAACTTTTGACCGAAAGTGACGACCCTTGCTTGCATCTGTGCAGCTCTGAATTGAGTTTATTTCATTCTATCTGACCCGATTTCGAGTTCCTGCGCAGGAACTTAATTCTTTTAGGCTTGGTGTGTCATCAGTCCCCGTTCATAAGTAGCAATTATATGAGGTGCTGTTTCACGCTGCGCCTCCAACAGGCTGCACGGGCCATTTTCAGGCCCGTGACGTTTTCAGCCTGAAAGCCTGAAAACAAGGGCCTACAGGCCCTGTGTCGTTTCAGCCTGAAAGCCTGACACCAAGGGCCTACAGGCTCTGTGTTGTTTCAACCTAAAACAGGGCCCTCCAGGCCCTGAGTCTTTTCAGCCTGAAACGGAGGGCCATTTTCAGGCCCTAATAAGACCGACCTGCCCTGAAACTTAGGCACCGGACCAGGGTTTTAGCACAGGCCATTTTCGGCCTGTTTTCAAGACAACCCTTGGGTGAGTTTGAACGCCAGGGTCTGGCACGTTTTGGCATTGGCAAGAGCAACCTCCTGGACGGGCCAGCACTATATAGAACTGGCCCGCCCTGCAGGCTGCAGGTAGTTCATAGGAACGTCCCAGGCACTTCACATGCAGTTCAGGAGGCAGGAGGTAGTCTTCAGGATTCGGCAGCAGCACTCTGGAGGAGCGCTGCAGAGGTAGTAGTAGCGTTAGCAGTAGTCTTCAGCGCTGGGCGCTAGTAGGAGCTAGAGTAGTATTGGAGAGATAGAGAGATTGGGCGGAGGCCAGGGAGACTTACCTGAGGCGCCATAGCTCCAGCTTCGTCTTTGAGGTACCTGCAGCACAGCGCCATCTTCACAGGTTAGTACCTGGCACATGAGAGAGAGAGAGTTCTTCTTCTTCCTCTTCTCAGTCCCTCTCCCTCTCACCCTCTCGCTACCTAACTTCACTGCATCAGCAGAATACGAGAGAGCGGGATTGGTGACATTTGTATCCAGACTCGACAGACATTTTGACGAGGGACTATTTGGGACTTGTAGCGAAGACGTGGTGTTCACGACATTCCCATCTCCCCCCCCCCTCTTCTTGGTCTGATTCCCTCCTCTTCGTCTGTGTATGGTCTGGACCTGGCGCATTCTTCTGTGTGTAGCGCCGGGCCCCTTCACGCCTTGTGATAATGATGATGTATGTTTGGTCTGCATTGCGACATTGATTGAGATAGTCATTGGTATTCTAGCATTCTGCTGTGCTGTCTTGCACTACGTGAGAAAGGTCAGCCCCGGTCAGGTCAGGACTTATATTTATATCTTCCACTGCACTTAAAAGCACCATTTTTGTATGTATCAGGATGTACACTGCTTGTTGAGATTCCACTGGCACTGCATTGTCCATTCAGTCCTTTTTATCACATTGTGGATCCTTGGTTATATATGTACATCGCCCAACTGGGCATGTGACAGGTGGTATCAGAACACCGCACGTGAATCAGGACAACCTGATCTGACATGTGTGCGGGGACTAATTAGTTGATTAGTCTAGATTGATTGATTGGTTGATTAGAGCACACTAGTTAGCACCCAAAATCACGATTTTGCCCTCACTGCCGAAAATTGAAATTTTAAATTCCCGCTAGTCCTGAAAAAAAAAAATTCTTCTTTTCTTGGATTTTGTTTTCCTGCTATTTCTGTTGTGGACAATCGCAATAGCGCAACAGCTGACATTCCCATTTTCGTTTTTCTTCTGAAAAGTCGAACTTTTGTCGCTGGAAATCCGGAATATCTTTTTTTTCAAAAATTTTGATTTCCTTTTGCAATTTCCCGTTATTCGGAAATCCGGAATATTTTTTAATTTCCGAAATTCGTTTTTTCGAAAATGGCATGGGAAATCCCTCTTGCAGTTACCATTGTCCAAACTGTGCCTACTCTCATTTAAGTAATCCGGAATATTTTTTTTTCCCTTTTCGGAGTTCTTTTTATTCGCAGTTCCATGATTTTCACTCTCATAATCATTGGCAGTCTGAAAGTTCGAAATTCTTTTGTCATTGACAATTTCGCACTTCAAGGGAGATTGGGAGATCTACTGAACTTGCAAAACTCAGGATTTTTATTTTCTTGAAGTTTTTTTCTGCAGAAGTTCGAACTTTTCTTTTTGATTAGCGGCTCCTTATCTGGGCAACCCTGGGACAGATAGAAAAGATAAGACCAGAGATCAGCACCGGCCGAAACTGGCCGTGGTCGTGGTGACAACGCCAACCGACCAATCTAGCGAGGCCGTGTTTTCCAATGAAGGGGACAGACTCACAGTCGCCCGAGATGGTGGCCGCCGCAGCTGAGGACGCGGCAAGACGAAGAGAAACACCGTATCTATCCCGGGCCCGGCGCAGTAGCTCCAGCCTCACGGTCCCACTACGGTCTCTCCGAACAGGCCTACAAGGCGCGCACGAGATTCCACTATCGTCTGTGGTGTAACAGCGATCTCCACGACATAGTGGGCTGCCCGTCGAAAGGCAAGGGCAAATCGGGAAACTGAGCACCGTCGCGAGTGACTCGACGACACTCTCGACRCCTTTGGAACCAGTCACTTCGTGGGTGACCGCCATTCGTTCCGAGGCACATGCGGAAGTTGATAGTCCTCTTCTATACTCTTATGAGGACTATGTTGCCCGACTCGTTCCTACAGTGGGTACTCATGCTCAAGGACAAGACGTGTGTGCGGCATCTTCCCTATCCAGCAGCGGCAACGTATCGTTTTTTAGTGGTTCTTCACGGGATTCGGTGCGCGAGTTCAACATAGAGGTATTGGACCCGCTCACGTCCGAGGATTTCGCATGGCTTCCTCTCCCGACCACGGGCCGTTTGTCGTGACCGCAATGATGTGCAGCATTATGCACTCATCTTCACACATACTTATCCTTCTATGCACCACCAACTTTGCTGACAGATGACGAAGTCGCGGTGGGGGACATCCTTGCGTATGTTACCAAGGTGGCCCGCGAGTTTCGCAAGCAGCGGTACGATGACAACAACCCACCGCTCCTCTATGTCCGATCCAAGTCGGGCAAGCGTCCTGCAAGGCTTTGTTGGATAGTGACGCGTCTCGCACTTTCATGAGCCAAGCCTTTATGCAAAGGGCTGGCCTTGGCGAACAGGTTCGGAGGAAGGCAAAACTGGCGGCGATCAAGTTGGCGGACGGAAGGACGCAGCAACTTATCGACCGCTACATCGAGGCCGTACCATGCATGCGAACTGGTGACGTTCGACATTTTGGACACAAACTTCGACATCAGTTTGGGATTGCCTTGGCTCGCAAGTCCGGATCACACGGTCAACTTCCACCAGCGGACTCTTACCGTTCGAAACGCCTACAAGGCCGAAGTGCCGTGTACTATTCCCCTTCCACACCCTTGGATCCAATGCCAAGTGGTGACGGCCAAGTCGTTCCGGGCTACTTGCGGTTACGAGCAGCCCGATGAGATAGACCTATGTTTCCTACGGACCGCGGTAGCCGACTCTTCACCCACGGACTTGTCTTCGGACCGCTGTGTGGTGCGGTTGCTTGACGAGTTCGCCGACATCTTCGAGTCACCTACCGGTGTGGTGCCGGATCGGCCGATCTCTCACGAGATTATTCTTGAGGCCAGTGTCGTGCCACCGAAAGGTTGCATTTGTCGCATGACCGAGGAGGAGCTTACAGTCCTGCATAACTCCTTAACTTGTTGGACAAGGGTTGGATCCACCCTAGCAGCTCCCCATATGGAGCACCAGTTCTCTTCGTACGAAAGAAGAACAAGGATCTACGATTGTGCATCGACTCCCGTAAGCTCAACACGCAAATGGTCAAGAATGAGGGGCCTCCTCCTCGTATCCGCGATCTTCTTGAGCGACTGGGTGGCGCGAAGTATTTTTCTAAGTTGGATTTGAAGTCTGGATATCATTAGATTTTGATCCGGCCGAACGATCGCTACAAATCCGCGTTCAAGACGAGGTACGGGCATTTTGAGTGGGTGGTCATGCCTTTTGGCGTCACCAACGTGCCAACGATTCAAGTGGCAATGACCAACGAGTTTCGTGCGATGTTGGACCGGTTCGTGCTGGTTTACTTAGACGACATTCTCGTCTATAGTCGGACATTGGAGGAGCATCTTGAGCACCTTCGATGAGTGTTGGAGATGCTCCGCCGTGCCAAGTACAAAGCTAACCGCGACAAGTGTGAGTTTGTTCGACAAGAGCTGGAATACTTGGGCCATTTTGTCACACCGGAGGGCATCAGTCCGTTGTCGGACAAGATCCAAGCCATCCAAGAGTGGCCGGAGCCGCGGAACGTCATGGATGTCCGTTCGTTCCTTGGCCTTGCCGGCTAATACCAACGTTTTATCAAGGGATACTCGAAGATCAAGGCCCACTTGACCAAGCTTCAATGCGAGGATCGATCGTTTGACTTCGGAGAGGATGGGCGGAAATCATTTTTGGCTCTCAAAGC